CAACGAGGATTTGAACACCTTCACTTATGGTGTCCCATTAGTGCCTAATTGTTCAATATTTTAATTTGTGTTATAGACATGCAAAAAAAGTTTCAAATAAAAGTTATATGGATTTAAAAAATACATATTTTTGAATATACAGGGTGTTGAGTTTTTGCGTGGCAAATGTATGTTTTATTTTTAGAATTTGTTAATACTCTATTCAACCCTAGAATGTTTTTAAAAAATATTAGTGTTGCCAAGCAATTAATTTTTTTTAAATTGGAATGATGCAGACCCCAAATTAAATTATCATAATAATTTAGGTAGGTTTACATTGATGTCAAAATTGTTTAATATACAGACTTATAAGATACTAAGCTAACGAATAGTGGTGATAACTGGTCTATTTTATTATACAGACTGTTTTGAAACATGTCTTAAATATGGCTAATTTTAAGTTCAATTTACTCAAATTTTTCAAATGCAACACCCTGTATATTATTTTATCGTAAAATTCCTTATAAATTTACTTATCCAACGATACCAACATTTTAGCCAATAACACATATACAGGGTGTCCCATCAGTACGTAATTGATTGATAGTTGTTTTATTATTAGAAATACGAAGAAATTTTTAATATAAAAGTTGTATGACCATATTTAAGAATTATTCTTAAATATATAGGGTGATCCATAAACGAGGTGCTGACCAAATCTATACTTTTTTTAAAGCAAAACACCCTGCAGGTAGTTATACATATTTGATTGTTTTCACACCGTCAGACAATTTTAATTGATTTCACCCATTTGTTATGTTGTATATAGGATGTGTCAAAACATGAGGTTACGATTTTCTCAATTTTTTAAACGGAATACCCAGTATCAATTAATTGGTAGTATAACATATAAGGTATTTCATTTAAAAAATTGAGAAAACCGTTACCCCGCATTTTAACACACCCTATATTCAAGATAGCAAATAAATGAAGTCTATTAAAATGGTTTGACGATGTGAAAACAATCCCCTGCAGGGTGTTTTGTTTTAAAAATGTATAAGTTTTGGTCAACCGGGTCAACCCCTCGTTTAAGAATATTTATTAAACATGGTCATACAACTTTTGTTTATTTTTTTTCGTATTTCCAATAATGAAACAGCTATCGATCAATTACGCACTCTTAGGACACCCTGTACATGTGTTATTGGCTAATATGTTGGTATCGTTGGATAGCTAAATTTAAAATCAATGTAAACTTACCTAAATTATGATAATTTAATTAGGGTTCTGCAACATTCTCTAATTTAAAAAAAAATTGCTTGGCAAACCTGTAATATTTTTTAAAAACATTCTAGGGTATTATCAAACTATTCTAAAAACATAATACAGGGTGTTCTATTTTTGCCAGGCAAAAACGAAACACCCTTTATATTCAAAAATATTTTTAAAATATATATTTTTAAAATTAATATAGCTTTTATTTGAAACTTTTTTGCGTGTCTATAATAAAAATTGAAATATTGAACAATTACGTACTCATGAGACACCCTGTATTTATTGAATTAAACGGTTTAGATGATTTCTTTGTAGATATAAACGAATATCTAGTGAATTTTATTATTTATGGATTATTCACAATAATTACACATTTTTAATTATATTTTACCTTAATAACTAAAAAATGTACCTACTGAAAATATACCTCGTTTGATAGAAATGTCACTAATTTAAAATTTTAAAAATAAACATGAACTGTGATTGGCGGATATTATATCCGTTCAGAAGACTAATATGGCCTCCATATTTATTCTGAAGGTCGTGCAGAAAATACCTTAAAATAAAACTGGCACAACTCAAAATTTTCGGATTTTGTATTTTTTTTCATACATACAACCCAAAACTAATGAATTTTTAGGTGACATGTCATAAAATAACTGGCATTTTCATCCACTAGAGAGCAGTTACGTCAGTTTTGAAATTTGTAAACTGATCAACTCCCTTCGCGGCAAAACTGTTATATACTCAGTCATCTTGAGTAGAGCAAGTTATTATTTGTTCAGAACTGTCATATTTTGGAAAGTTTTTAATCAGATTATTTGAGCAAAACAGTCACATTTAGAGTTACACCAGTTTTCTCTAAAAAGAAGCAAGTCAATACATGTATATTATAAATAACGTATTATTTTTAGATGTGTCAGTTTTGTTTAGGAAAGATTTTTGTATGTAATAGTTTTATTTTGACTTGAGTCGTTATTTCCCATAATTATTAATACATATTTCTACGTTCTTATATCATATCACTTCAGCTGTTATTGACCAAAATAATTTAATATACCTAAAATTATATTTCTTTAAGTTATAACATTACCTACAAGATTTTTTTTTCAGGTCTTTCTAAATACATGAATTTGAGGCAGATCTTGCACTGATCCTTCTTTAGGGAAAAGAAGGCCAGATTAAATTGTTTAAAAATTGTATTATACATTTCCATGTACAAGACAGCTTTATTGACCTTTAAATCAATAACTCACAAGTAGTAGTTGGGCATAGTCAAAACAAAGGAGATATTGACCATTTTTTTATAGAGGGAATAAAGAAAGCTAGAAAGTTTGGTCCAATCTATGTTACTGATCAATATGTAAGCCTCACATGGTTTGTAAAAAACTGACAAGTCGTATATGATGCATAAAGCTTTGCTATGGTGATGTTTATAGTTTCATTGTAGTTATATTAATGATGAATCATTGTGTTCTATTTACTGCTCCTATAACTAACACAAAAAAAAACAACTAGCAGCCAGATAATTAAGTTGACAAAGGCTTATAAAAGTAAGACAGACTTTAAAGAGCCTAAAAAGAATAAAAAATATTAAACAAAGGTACAATTCCCAAGTATTTCTGATTTTTTTTGTTAATTTATAGTTTGCAATGTTATTATTAATATTGTATTTTATTTCTCTATTCATAATTATATCATTTTTTTTTATCAAGTGTCACAAGCCCAAGGGTTTAAGGGATGGTTGTATGTTTATAAAGAAATAACATGTGACAAATAAAGTTAACTGTATCTACATTAAATTTGGCAGAACAGGTTATCGATAAATTAATTTTTAAGTCAATGTTTTAAAATTAATGAAAATTTTGAAACATATCTTAAAATTTATACTTTTTGAATTGTCCGGTATTTTTTCAAAGTACTTTGCATGTGGGTGTAAATATTTTTTTTGTTTATTTTTCTTGATTCCCAGGATTATAGTAATGAAAATATCAATAACATTAAGAGTAAAATATGAAACCTGACAAATGGCTAAATCAGTAACATTGTGAAATACTTTTTTACATGACAGTAATTAATTATATACATATTGCATGAAAACAAAGAGATAGGTAGGTACCACAAAAAATACCAAAGTGATATTTAAAAAATATATATAAAAACATACAATAGTTTAGTGTACCACAATGATAGATACTGTAATTTAAAAAACTGAAAACATCAAATAATTGAACGCACGAAGATAGCCAACCACATCATGGTACAAAAATGTGCAGTGTTATTTTGAAAACAGTGTTGTTTTTAGATCATGAAATCTAAAAATGTGAAACAATTTAAACCTTTTTTTATATAATTACATCCATAACTTAAATAGTCAAATAGTTGCAAGATAAAGCATTCAACAAATAGTGTTTTATGGATATAAAAGTATTCTGTATTATACTATTATCACAGAGTTGAATTTTTATTTTTAGAAATGTTTCCATGGATAAGAAAAAAATGTGTAAAAACATATTATTTAACGCCAAAATATTGTCAATTATACAAATATTTGAGATTAAAATTATTGTTTAATGTGTGTACCTAGGTAATAAACACATAAAAATTCAGTCTTTAAATAATTGGTCTTTAACAAAAATAAAATCTAAAATTCCACTTAATCAGAATTTATAGTCTCAAAGAAAAAACTAGATTGTATACTCATTTAAAATTAAATTATAAAGATACGTTTCCTTGAAAAGTATTTTTATATCATAATTTATAAAAGATTTCATTAAAAATAGATTAACATGTTGCTTGCAATAGCATGAGTTATATTTGAAGTATGAGCAAATATATGGGTGACTTTGAAATCGTTGAAGCACAATAATCATATTTTGTAAAATTTTTGGATAAATATAATGAAAGAAATAAGAACTTTTCCACTTAACTTTATTATAATACGTATATATCACAAATCCTTTTTGGCTCTCAGAACACACATTCTATCAGCAACATTTCATTATTTTCTTACAAAAACATGTATTAGTTATAACAGGCACGCATCTTCAAACACACTTCACTTTTTTGATTGAAAAAAGTTCCTATGTAACAAACACAGATCTTTGATAAAATTGTTATAATATATACAGTATGATCTCACATAATTTTTCCAATTGCGAATATACACTGGAGGCCCATATTGTTACTTTTGAATTGGAAAAAGTACTTTTTTAGGCCGATAGAAGTACCACCATCCATGTTCTTTTATTCATTACTCGCAAATTTTCTCTTCAGGCACTATATCAATAGATCTTACGGTAGATATGGTTCAGTTTAAAAAACTAGTAAATAAAATACATTTTTTTGCATCATTTACGAAGATTTTATGTTCACTGTATAAAAATATAGAATATCGTGCACTTCTAAGCCATTTTCAAGTAGTATACTAGAATGAGCATTTACATAAAAAATCCATGATTACAGTTCACAGTGCTAAACTGAATAAATAGTAAATTGTAGGGCCTGCTGGCCAGCAGACTGTACAGAGACCAGGTGACAATAAAATGCAGATTCGGAATTGAGAATATGAGGATGGTGATCAGTTGATGATCAGTTTAGCATTCACAGTTAACACAAAGCAAGTGTCATTGTTCCCAACAAGTAGTAATCAGTAATAGGTAGAAATTTAGATGGTAGACTGACTACAGACTGAAGACAGAAATAAAATAATTTTAATTGAAAAAAGGAAATATCAGAGGCCGTTATTAGAGCACTGTACACCAGCAGTAACTTTTTTTCTCCTTTTCTGGACTAAAGTTCATTTCGCGGACTATTTCGGCGAACACCTCGTTTACATTGGTCCTGTTCTTGGCACTCGCCTCGATGAAAGGACATCCCCATTGCTGGGAAAGGACATTTCCTTCGGCAAAGTCTACTTCTCTCTGGTGTTCCAGATCCACCTTGTTTGCGACTAGGAGTATAGGAACCCGTTCGGTTCCTTTCACTCTGGTAATTAATTCCTTCATGGGGCGGATGTCTTGGAAGGTTTGGTGATTTGTTAAACTGTACACTACGACAAAACCCTGTCCATTCTTTATGTAGAGGTCGCGCATGCTGGCAAACTGTTCGGTACCTGCCGTGTCTAGGATTTCTAACACACACGGACTATTGTCTACCTCGATTTCCTTACGATAAAAGTCCTCAATGGTTGGATCGTATTTTTCCATAAAACAACCTGATACGAACTGAACAGTTAATGCACTTTTTCCAACCCCACCCGATCCGAGAACAACTACTTTGAATTCACGCATTTTTGATCGGCTTCTTACACTAATTATTCTTTATATTCACTTTCAGTTTATTCACTATGAGATTGCGGTTACTCCTAGCGGCGACACTTACAACATTTTTGCACTCCATTTCAAGATATATAAATTACAACTCAACGTTTCGCCATCTTAGTGAACACTCTCATAATGTTTTCATAAACGAGCGTTCGTGCAGCCACGAGGGCCAGTCGGTTTTCGGTTCAAGCAGGATGGGGATACACCACATTTATGATTGCTGAATCAAGACTTGCGCTTTGCGTTCTTTTTGCTTCGTGCTCTCTCATCACATCATTCATTTTGTGCGGCTCATGCCATCTACGCTACTATGCTTTCATTCATAAAACCACGCCGGTCGTTTCAGATCTTACTAACAGATGGCATCGCGAATTCTAGCACTTTTCGATTACAACCATTTTTCTGCGTTACCGGTAATAATAACCGGATTTACGATCACAAAATTTAAATTATTCAGAATTAGGTATTTTATTCAAAGGCCGTTTGTCACGACACTGATAATAAATTTCGTGGTATTTATTAATTTAATAAGTTCTAAAATACTTAATCGTTGCAACCAGCAACCAAATACTGCATATACAGGGGTAGTCCTAAATGTCATGTCAGTATATCGTTTGGAAAAAGGAATAAATTGCTTTAGGGCCGATTCCACCGTTGTGTTAAAAGAAGTTTAAATTAAAATGACATTGTTAATGTAAAAATGTCATTTTAAACTTCGCTTTTAGTATTTTAAACTTAATTTACCACAACGGTGACATTTTATTACTAAAATTTTATTTATACACGTTTTTTAAATTGCTTTTCGGATCCGCATAACATTAGGAACGTCGGAATATAATAAAAATTATATAAATACTAAAAAGTTGTTTATGAAGAAAATATGTGGAAAAATTTAATCAAAACTTTTGATGTTTCTAATTCTAACCGTATATCTTGTAAATTTCGAAATTTCGAAACATGGGAACTTAGGTTTTATGTTTAAAATAGATTCGTTGTCAATAGGTAATATAAATACCTACAAAAGTGTATGTAAGCTTAGTTTTTCAAAATTTTACGATTTTGAAAAACTAAGCATTAAACTAGATAATTACTATTTACAGACGGACAGACTTACGAACAGACGGACATACGGACAGGCTGACAGACGGACAGACGGACAGACGGACAGACGGACAGACGGACAGACGGACAGACGGACAGACGGACAGACGGACAGACGGACAGACTTACGGATAGACTTACGGACAGACTTACGGACAGACTTACGGACAGACTTACGGACAGACTTACGGACAGACTTACGGACAGACTTACGGACAGACTTACGAACAGACGGACAGACGAAGGGACGGGCGGAGAGGTGGTAAACGTTAAACCCAGTCGGAGGACTTCGAGAATTTCGCGGTAATATTTAATCGCCGTTGCCGTATCATAGAATTAAAATAATATCAAACCTGGTAAATTATTACCGGCGGAATCGGGCGAACGAATCTATTTATACATGGGCTACAAAGAATTATTTAAACAAGTAATAAAATCCCAAATCATAATTCTACAACATTTCAACAGCTATTCTAATTTTATTAAACTATTTTAGACGAAATTGTTATTAGCATCTATAAATTAACTTTCTACGTTAATGTTTCGCGTTTACTTCGGTTAACTCCTGTCAAATCCTGTGTATAAAGTGGGAAAACTGCGAAAAGCCTTTCCAACTTCTGTCCCAGATTCTAAACTTAATGTCATTCAAAATCCTCCAACTCCTATTTGATATTCCTCTCAAATAAATGTAGGAAGTAAAGATTGTTGCCTGCATTTTGGCGAACTAGAACCGTGGTAATACAATATTGGCAACACTAATAATAAAAAGAGACACCTATGAGAAATTATTGTAAGTATCTCAATATCATGGCGAATTCTTCGTATGTGAAGGTCACTATTCACTAAAACCGAGGCAAGTAGGCGTGGTTATGCAGCAAATCATTCAAGTCACGTGACTGTTGTGGACATATGTGGTTTCTAAATAGGTCTCTGTCTGATTTCCATTAAACTGGGTGCGTAAAGAGAGATCGGTTACTGATTTTTTGTTGGTGGGGATACCATGTGAAGGTGACAGACGTGACAGAAATTAGTCAGTGTGTTACTTTGTTTTTTTTTAGAAGTTTCTTTCTACCAAAATAAACTCACCAACTATAAATAGCTGGTTGTTCATCTTTATGGTAATTCCACGGTATTTCATTTCCTCAGAAGATTTTTATTAGGTTATTTACTGTTATTATCTAATAAATGGTACAGAGGCAGTAAGTGGATTTTAAGTTTATGTGATATTTAAATTATCAAATTTTTCTTTCTAGTTTTATAGTGCGATTTTTGTGGGCTAGATTCATTTAGTAGAAAATAAGATATGGCTTATCAACAACAACCAACGTATCCTACACCTTATAATAGTAAGAAAATAATATTTATTTTTGCGCACTGGTTCGATTTTAATTCATTTTTGTTATTTAAGGTAATTATCCTCCAGCCCCAAATCCAGGTTACCAAACTCCAAATGCTCCTGGTTATGTACAGCCAACACATGGGTATGGGCCACCACCTCCACACGGCTATCAGCCACCCCCAGGTCAATACCCTCCACCAGGAGGCTTTGGAGGACCAATTACAAATCAACCCGTCGGCCCACCCGGTGGGCCACCAGGTCAGTTTTTTAACTTATATTTAAAAAGTAAATAAGGTCTATAGTACATGTGCCAAAAATTAGATTTTGATTTCCTCTATATTTTTAATTTTTAAATTCGAATTATGACGATTTAAACCGAATTTTTTTTGAAAAAAACATCAAAAAAATTTGTAATTTTGGGTTCGTATGTATAAAAAATCGTTTCTAACCGTGTAAAACTATTTTATTAAAAAAAAATGTAACTTCATTTTTTGTGGCTAGAGGCAGGATTGTTTATGTGATTCTCATATTTAGATGATAATACGTACATAATACATTCATAACCAAATTTGATCCCATTATCTCAACGAACTGCCCAATCCCAACAGCCAACCCTTGTTTTTTTTTTAATATTTTATTCAATATTCATGCATTTTAGTTTACACATTACTTAGACCATAATATTATTATTGCTTGATAATACCTTTACCAGCGTAAATTAACTTAAGTAACATAATTAATTTTACAACATAATGAATTTATACTTTTAAAAGTACCTAAATAGGTACCTATATTAAAATATAAGTGCCTACATGTCATACAGTGTTTGTATTGTTATAATGATTTATTCTTTTATGTAGGTAATTTGAATGCAACCTTGATTGTACAAGTACAAACATGGCAGTGGCGTACCTACTTGGGGAGTGTGGGTATCTAGTAGTAGATGCTGTGTAACCCCATGCAATTTGGTATTATTATAATGATAAAATAAGCGAGGGTGGTCCATTTAAAAAAACATAAGTATGTACCACAATGAAGTTATTTTAAAATAATCTTAATGCTGCACGACATTCTTTAAAATATATTTTTTTATCTAACGGAACCGCCCTTGTGCCGTTTCTGTGTAGAAATATGGCAACAAGTTTACTTTAGCGCCGTATGAGAGGGATTTGCCCAACTATTATTCAGTCGGTAATGTAGATACCTGCAATCTTTTATTTAATTTTTAGAATTGCCGCGATTTTGATTGTACCTCTACTTTATTACTAAAATTTTGCATTTTATTGGCATTTTTTGCAAAACGCACAAGGTGCGAGATATAACAAAATGCCAATCAAAATGCATATTTCCAGGACACATAATTTTAGGAAGTAAAATAAATGCAATAATTATCATTAAAACTAATTTCTAATACACTTTTTAAATAAACATTTCAATAAGATAAATAAATATATTTTTCTTTAATCTATGAAATAGAACCCTCCATATAAACTGAAACGGAAAAAATTCAACGCAGTAGGTAGGTACTTAACTTCATATTTTGATTTTCTTTTTTGTCTTTTAGATATTGTCAAATCTTCATACTATCATTATATTTTCTAATTACTAATAGTACTCACCATGGGTGAAATTACAGAACGTCTGCAACTTTGCAGATCTGCAAATATAACGGCAACTTTGCAGATCTGCAAATATGGTGGACCAAAAAATATCTGCAAATTCGCAATATGTATTGTGGTTTATTACCCTCAACAACACTAAACCCAAATCAACCCTTAAGGGTGAGATTACAGAGGCTCTGCAAATCGTAATTGCATCTGCATATATCAGTTGCAGTTGCAAAAGAAGAGAAACATGGTATTACGGAAACGTGTTTTCACTTTTTGCGTCTGCAAATCATCTGTAACTTTGCAGGAGGTTAGAACATCCTACAAACTTGCAGATAATTTTTACTTTTTACTTTCCTATCTGTATACGGATAAGGAAAGTATAGGAATCATAATTTTTTCGATCTCGAGTTTTCGACGGATGTCTGTATGTGTGTGTCCTGTATCCTCGATAACTTATGAACGGATACAAAGAAAAACACCAAATTTTAAACTTAAGCTTTATTCCAGCCTCCAATGAACAGATTAGATTTTGGGCAGAGTCGGAACATCTGAGGAGGGGTACTCTATAGGTGGTCATTTTTTATATTTTATAGAATATATCTGTTATTTACGTTTGGAGAAGAAAATCCTTCAAATAAAAGTTATTTACAATATTGTTATCGTTATATATGTTATATACAAAACTTTCCTAAAATGGTCCGTATTCGAGAAATTTGACAAAATGTAAAAAAAATATTTTTTTATAAAAATTAATTAAATAAAAGTTGTTTATAATGTAATTCTCTATAATTTTTGTCCTATACATAATTTCTCTAAAATAGACCGATTCGAGATAGGAGAAAATGTGTAAATGACGAATTTTGAAGAAGACTCAAAAACGGATAAAGGAAAAAACATTAAATTTTAAACTTAAGTTTTATTTCGGCCTGAGGTGAAATGATTAGATTAGACCGGACAAAGTCGGAACATCTGGGGGGTACTTTATAGGAGGTCGTTTTTATATTTTATGGAATATATCTGTTATTTAATTTTAATTTTCCTGAAATGGTCCGTATTCGAGAAATTTGACAAAATGTGCAAAATTCTGATTTTTAAGAAAATTGTTAAACTAAAAGTTGTTTGCGATATCGATCTCTATAATTTTTGTTTCTACATGATTTTTCTAAAATGGACCGTAATGGAAAAATTGGAGGAAAAGTGCTAAATTTAAATTTTTCAGTATTTTCGTTTTCAATGAATATCTATAGAAAAATGTTTCGAGTTAGATGTACATGGAAAATGTATATATTTAGTTTATCCTCTAAACATTTATAGAGGTGCTGCTATAGGTTGTACAAAATAACCGGAAAAGCCTATAATAACCAGATAGAAAAGTCATGTGTTGCACACATCAGATTTTTTTTTAATAACCATGAAGTCTTCTGTTCCTTTTGATTGAATACAGTTCGTGGTGTCAGATTATCGAGATTATAAACATAGTAATGGATTTGGGTTTAGTGTTGCTGGGAGTAATTAACCACAATAAATATTGCGAATTTGCAGATATTTTTTGGAATACGAAAACTTGATACTTGCATCTGTAAGTACGCCATATTTTCAGATCTGCAAAGTTGCCATCATATTTCCAGTTGCAGACGTTCTGTAATTCATCCTATATATTTTTTTAATTAGATGTAGTACTTTTTTAAATACCAAGCCTGCATGATCAAACTTTGAATTAATTTCTTGAAATAACTTTGATTCTGAAATTTTTACTGCATTTTTATTGTTACCTTTTAATTTAATTACTTTTCTGTGTATGATTATATTTTTAACATCCTGTATACTTGTATAGTTTATTTCCCAAAAAGTACGCATACAAACTAAAAGTAATATTGTAATCAGTTTTAAATAAATATTTATTTGTGCTTATGCTTATCTATATTGTATTTTATTCTTAGTACTATCAACAATATTTTTTTGTAACTAATTTGGTAATCCCGGTAATTCGGTCAATAAATAAATAAATTTATGTATTTACTTCGAATTGTGAGTAAAATGGAGTGTGTCCTTTAGAAAATTTTCCTGCAGGTATGCAGGCAGAAATGGCAAATATTTACGTCTGCAAAACCGTGGCGCGCTACTCTGCCGTCCTTTGATTAAAAGTGGTGTCTACCAAAAAAATAAAACAGAAAATGAAGTTTAACCACTTTTAATATTCTTAATAATTGAAGACATAAGTGGATAAAGGTGTCATGTCACATTTTTTCAAAAAATTATTTTTATGGCCTAATATACTTCAAATATACTATATTTTTTCTTTGTGATAGTTCTGATTTCCAACTTCGATAAATAACGGCTATTCATCAGATAAGAAGGTGTCATAAGCCATATATCATAATGCAATTGTAAAACACTTGTTTTTTCTAAATAATCTTTTTGTGACATGACACCTTTATCCACTTATGTCTTCAATTGTGATGTTACTATTGTTATGAACAGATATTTTTATTTTAAAAGACATTTACCACTTTTCAGCTATAAAAAAATATGTAAAATGATGTATGCATTAAGCACCATAACTCAATTTAGCATAAAATTGGAGATACCACTTTTAAGCGAAGCACGGCAGCACTAGGGTGAATTCACATCCCCAACTAGTCATTTGAAAAAAGTGTTGTTTTGAAGTCAAAGCCTAAATCATTCCATCTCTAAATCGAATTGAGAGAACCGATTATGTTGCCCTAACAAGGCGTCATCATCGCTAGCTGTATCTGGCTTTATTGAAAATATCCATGGGCGTATCAGTCTTAAAGGCAAATATATAATTTAACTAAACTTTTTTCGATAAATATTTAATATTATCGATTTTGTTATTCCTTATTATTAATTATTATTCCTTTTATTGTTTTATAAAGTTCCGGGTGTCCAAATAAGACAGGACGCCGGTTATCGTTAGCTGTAGGATATGGAATGTAGCTCAGAAACTATCCGCCGTAGAATTTTGGGAAAAAAATGTCAACGTACAAAACAAATCGATGGACAGTATTTTTAAGTTTCTAAGTAGACTACTAGATTGTGAAATGATAAACGAGTGAGTAGTCAAAATAAGTAAAATTTCGTGCGGAATATGATTTTGATATGTTCGACATAACATAATTTGACTTTTTTTTAACAAGTTTTTATTATCGATAATGGGCATTGCGCTCTCTAGTTGTGAAGTTGGGAACTTGAAATGAATTTCCAACTATTTCTAAAAATGATTCTTGTTAAAAAAATAACAGATGAGTAAATTGCTCAGTAGATTGGCCGGCGTCCTTTCTTATTTATTTTGGACTCTCAGTACTTTGTAGATTGACTATGTTGAATTAGGATTGTTTAATATACAGGGTTACTATAAAAGAATCATCGGGTTTGACAAAGCTATATTTCGGAAAGTATGATGGATACAATAATAAAGGGTATGTCGGTAGACAGAGAAAACATTACATTTTTAGCGCGTTACAAATGTTCAATGTGTCACACGACAGATGTCCAAACGATAATCCAGTTCAGTCCACACACTCTGCAATGTATCGCGGTCGATACTGTTGACAGCAGCGGTAATGCGTCTTCTGAGCTCTGCCAGTGTTGCAGGTAGAGGTGGTACGAACACCGTGTCTTTAATGT